CGGGAGCTGTCTTTAAGCACTTGCTTTATCAAAAGGCGCGGAATGTATCACGGTTGTGTTTTCTACCAGTAATGGACGCTTTGAACGGGGAAAAGTTCAACTTTCCCACACTTCGGATCATCGACACTGCGGTATTTCTATATTGCGGCAAGGGTATCTAAAGTCTCGTTCGCAGCGGATGATGGGGGCGTTTTTGGCGCGCCGCCAACCCCTGTTCCAATAGTTGTTGGAGCGGATAAGCGACATTAACCAGTGGACAAAGGGCTGGTGCCGCGCCATACCCAGTCTCTCTAACATCCGCACCGAACATAACTACGCCTTGATAAGCAAGGAGAACAGAAACCGCTGAATTCGTCGAGAAACAAGGCGCAATGAGTGTGGTATTCCCACTCGGGCAAACAAAGCGCACCGTGGTCCACACTGCAAGCGTGAAATGTGATTTCTACGGGTAAAGGCAGTGGGCGCGATTGCTGGAGGCGGGCGGTTGTTGCCAATGCCATTGGTGGAAGGGCTGCAAGAGGACGTTTAGCCACATCCCTTCCATCAGTGACATTGGCGACAACCGCCCGTCTCCAGCAAGTATGTTATTGGCGCCCTTGATCTGATAAAATGGAAGCTGGTGTACCTCCGGCCAAACTCGAAGGCGTAATGTATTTCGGAATGGGCACATTGCTGTAAGAACCGCGCTGGCTTCAGACATGCCAAGAAAGGTGCCGTTCAGAGCGTACCTGAAAGTGGATAGCAGTAATTTCCGGGAGAATGGAGCAGTAATTTCAAGAAAAATTTCGGCGCAGTTCGGCTTGGAGGGGCACAGAATGGTACTCATGGTCAGTGAAGCCTATACAGGCCACCTTGTGAAGATCTGCAATTTTCCGTAGCTAGGGTGGCTCACTCGCACCATTTCGCCAGCTTACTGAAAGCTCACAGGTGAACACCAATAGGGCGTTATCATGAGATAGAAAATAACTAGCATAACCGCGCAAAATTGCTCCCTCCCAAGCGATACAGCGACGTGAAATTGTAATTCTGTTGGCTCGATCAACTATTGATTTATTGAGTACCGTGTGAGCAGAATCTCCAGTTTACCAGCAGGACCACTGCCGAACATAAAATGTTGTGTAATGGCAAGGTCTCGATGAAGCTCAAGGTCGGCGTCTCCAAGAAAGAATAGTGGGGGAGCTGGACCACTGAAATATGTAATAAAGGGTTCAAAAAAATCACACGAGAAAAAAATCCTTGAACCTACTCTGGCTGGCGATTTCTGATATTTTCTATGGCGTCGCATGCTGTTCCGTCTGAGGTGTCGAAATTTTGCAGAACGCACAGATTAACGAGAGCCTGGATTTTGGAGCGTTTAGCAAAGATTACTGTAGTACTGGTGCCGAGTGGATTTGAGCAATTACCTGGCAGTGAACTTCGCTACCAGCAGTGCACTTGGCCTCTGTAGACTCCAGCATGTCAGCCACAAAGGAAGATCGAACGGCAGTCCCGGAAAGCAGGCGAATCCTGGGATCCACTGAAGGCAGAGCTTGCGATGACTCGCATATTGAAGGAGTACTCTGCGAAGGAAAAGATTTTAGTCATGCCCTGCCAACCTAGAAAGAGCTCCAGTCCATATCACGCCTTTGGACAGGGCGTGTCCACAGACTTATGTGGGGAACTACCGCCGGTATACAGTTGCCAGATCAGGGATAAGAGCTCTATAGACATTTTCTGGCGGCGTGCCCAAATCTGTGCCTGCTGCGCTGATCTCCTTCGGCGTCTGCCTACCGCACTCATAACCAAGTTCAAGACGTTCCCCCTCCAACACTGGGGTATGGGCTGGGTTGTAATGGGCTTAGGAGAAAAGTGTACTCATAATTCATTCTCATACCTGGCAGAAGCAGTCAAGTGTCCCACACGGCTGGCAGGTTGTGCCATCAGTGTTGGGTTGAGTACCTGGAAAATGCACTATAGTTAACATCTTAGCAAGTTCTCCGACAATTGTTGGCGACTGATAGGGCACGCCCACATGTGGAGGGCCCGCCCTCCTTTGCGGCGCCTATTCCAAAGCCACGACCAACGAATCTACATCATATGGCATTTGAAAGAAAACAACGAACATAAACCTATCCAGTATGGTCTCAAACAGCGCACACCACATACAGTCTTATTCGCTGTCCGTGCCGGGGCGTGTCAG